TGCTCCCAGGGAGGTGCAGGAGGCTGCGTGCTGCCTATCACACCCCTGGCCATGCCCACCATGGCCACACCCATCCAGCAACCGGGCAAAGAACCCCTTGTTGAAATTTTTGAAGCCCACCCCTGCTGCAGTCCCCCTGTTGTTGCTCTTCTCTGCACTCTTTCTAGAGTCTCAACATCTTTTTTTGCATCGTGGTGACCAAAACTGGATGTAGTATTCCAAATGCAGTCTTACCAAAGCAGAATAAAGCGACACAAACCATAAACAGACAGTCAGTCAGACAGACAGAACTCGTTCCTTGTGCACAGTCACTCATGCCCTCATCACCTCTCGCCTGGACTACGGCAACACTCTCTACATGGGGCTCCCCTTGAAGAGCACCCGGAGACTCCAGCTGGTCCAGAATGCGGCTGCGCGGGTAGTGACGGGAGCTGCATGGCGCTCCCACATAACACCTCTCCTGCGTGAGCTGCACTGGCTCCCTGTGGTCTTCTGGGTGCGCTTCAAGGTGTTGCTTATCATGGCATAGGACCTGGATACCTTCGAGACCGTCTGCTGTCACCAACGACCTCCCACCGACCTGTGCGCTCCCATAGAGAGGGCCTCCTCAGGCTGCCATCAGCCAAGCAATGTAGACTGGCGGCCCCCAGGGGGAGAGCCTTCTCTGTGGGGGCACCTACGATCTGGAACGAGCTCCCCCCAGAGATACGGAGGATCCCGGATCTGCGCACCTTCCGTCGCGCACTTAAGACTTTTTTATTTCATCAAGCTGGCCTGGCCTAAATCTTCTCCCCTTTTAAATATAAATCTTAAATATAAATTTTAATCTGCTTTAAATTTTGGGGTATTTTAAATTAGCCAAATTATTTAATTCGTTTTTAATCTATTTTAAATTTTTGAATTCATGTGTTTTATCTTCTGGCTGTTCACCGCCCTGAGTCCTTCGGGAGAAGGGCGGTATAGAAATTTAATAAAATAAATAAATAAATAAATAAAAAATATGTTTTTTTTTATTACTTTGGCTGTACACCGCCCTGAGTCCTTTGGGAGAAGGGCGGTCTATAAATTTGATAATAAATACACACATACATACATACATACATACATACATACATACATACATACATACGTATATAAATACAGTACATCTAAAACAGCGCAACAGCACATTCCCAGGTGGGATTTCTAAAAGTCAGTCCAACTTCGGCAGTTTTCAGCCTGCCTCTGAGCTAGAAAGATTCCACGTAGCCAAAGGCAATTCAGTTTGAAAAGCACGCAAAGGAACTTCACGGCAGCAGCCATGGTTGAACTCCTTTTCATCCGGTCATTAAGCTTTTGATCAAGCATACTGGTGCACGCTTTGGATTTTGTGCACTCTGTGATCTGGCTAATGTGCCAGGCTGGGAAGAAAACGGGCGGTAATCATAGCTGATCTCCAACAGTTGGTGCGTTTTCTTTTCTTTTTTCTTTTTAATTGGTGTGCAAATCAACACTCGACTTTGTTAAGCTCAACTGATGGCAATTGCAAGACTTTGAAGTATAAAATCAAGGGAAGCCTGTAGATATTGCATTACTGCATTCATTTGGTCACCACGATGTAAAAAAAAAAAAAGGTGGAGACTCTAGAAAGAGTGTAGAGAAGAGCAATGAAGATTATTAGGAGACTGGAGGCTAAAACATATGAAGAACGGTTGCAGGAACTGGGTGACTATTTATTTTTTTTGTAAAGTTTTTTTATTTTTAAACACACAAACATACAATACATCTTTTCTAAATAGAATATTGCGCGGTTTTAAATTTATACAGATTTTTGTTCATCTTTAACACAATTTTATATGTTCAATTTTTATCATAGCATTTATTCTCTCTAATTTTAAAGAAACCAATATTACCCTTCATCTTAACTTCTCATCCTGATATAATTCAATTTTCCCTCCCTAAAATTTGAACCCCTAAGTTTAAATTCACACAACACGGTACAATCCCCAATTATTTCCTTAAATTCTCTTATTCTAGTCACAAATGACTCTTTTTATCAACTATTCCAAATAATACAATTCAACATATTAGTAGAATCCAATTAAGTATTTGGGGTGTTTTAAATTTCGTTTTCCAGGCTAATTATTTAATTGTATTATAATGGTTTTTTAAAATTTATATTATATGTATTTTATTCGGCTGTTCATCGCCCTGAGTCCTTCAGGAGTAGGGCGGTATACAAATTCAATAAATAAATAATAAAAATAAAATAATAAAAGTATCTATCTTAACCCAAATGTTCCAACTACTACAATTTCATATATTAAACTTCTTGTTTCTAAGTTTTATTTCAATTGAAATAAGGCTTAGTGACCATTTAAAGTTAGGACGGACCTCCCCAAAGCTACTTACGATCTGATTTTGAAGTTAGCCACCTACTCCATGGCACACGATCGCATTTTCGATGCTTGGGAGCAGGGGTGGGATCAGGGGTGAAATGCTCCCGGTTCGGACTGGATCGCCCGATCCGGTAGCGATGGCGCAGGTGGTTTGGAGAACCGGTAGCAAAAATCCCTACCCCACTCCCATGCCCAGCTGAGCTGCGCAATCATCAGAGGCTTTTTTTTTCATTTTTAAAAGCATTTTTTTCTACAACCTCTTCGGCCGAAAAAAATGCTTTTAAAAGTAAAAAAAAAAAGCCTCTGATGATCGCGCGGCTGACTGGAATCGTCAGAGGCTTTTAAAAGCATTTTTTTCTACAACTTCTTTTGACGAAGAGGTTGTAGAAAAAAATGTTTTTAAAAGAAAAAAGCCTCTGCTGATCAGGCAAGTCAGCTGGGATTGTCAGAGGCTTAAAAAAAAAAGAAAAAGCCTCTGCCAATCAGGCAAGTCAGCTGGGATCGTCAGAGGCTTTTTAAAGCATCTTTTTACAACCTCTTCGGCCAAAGAGGTTATAGAAAAAATGGTTTTAACAATAAAATTTTTTAAAAAGTTGGCCACGCCCACTCAGTCATATTACCCGCCCCCACCAAGCCACGCCCACAGAACCGGTAGTAACAAATTTTACATTTCACCACTGGGTGGATTCATATAATTTACCTACTGGTTCGCCCCAGCACCGAAAATGTGAGCATACCCGCCACCTCCCATGCATGTGCACGGCCTTTCACGCATGCACTTTGCTCGCACGCACGGCTTCAACGTATGCACACAGCTTGAAAACGTGGCTAAATAGGACGGCATTTGTGCCGGTAACCGCAGGTCGCTACTACCAGTTCACCCGAACTGGTCTGAACCGGCTGAATGCCACCTCTGCTTCGCAGTCAACTTTCATTTACATCAGTTTGTTGCATCCATAATATTTGGCGTTCTTCAAACATTATTCAGCGTCTCTATTCTTCCATTCATCTGCTTTTTATTTAAATAAACAGAAGTTCACCCTGCCTGGTCCTTCTAATTGGCACATTAACTTCAGTTTACTTCCCTAATTTTCTTTTTGCTAGATTTAGTGAGAATGAAGGTTATAATAATTGATCTTTTGCCAGTATATGCAATTGCTTCCTAGTCATGGTGTTAACAACCTTCTCTTATTGACGGTTCCTGCATGGATATCTTGGTGATAGCCAGTTTGGTGTAGCGGTTAAGGTGCTGGCCTAGAAACCAGGAGACTGTGAATTCTAGTCCTACCTTACGCATGAAAGTTGGTTGGGTGACTTTGGGCCAATCACTAGGAGACGGTAAGTTCGAGTCGTGCCTTAGGCATGAAAGTTGGCTGGGTGTCTTTGAACCGATCACCAGGAGATCACCAGTGAGTTCTAGTCCCACCTTAGGAACTGAAAACTAAGCGAGGTGACTTTGGGCCAATCAGCAAGAGACTCTGAGTTCTAGTCCTCCATACAAATGGATATCTTGATGAATAGCCAGTTTGGTGTAGTGGTTAAGGTGCTGGCTTAGAAATCAGGAAACTGTGAATTCTAGTCCTATTTTAGGCATGAAAGCTGGTTGGGTGACTTTCAGCCAATCACTAAGAGATGGTAAGTTTGAGTCGTGCCTTAGGCATGAAAGTTGGCTGGGTGTCTTTGAACTGATCATCAGGAGACAGTGAGTTCTAGTCCCACCTTAGGAACTGAAAACCAGCAAGGAGACCTTGGGCCAATCAGCAAGAGACTCTGAGTTCTAGTCCTCCTTATGAACCAAAGCCAACTGTATGACTTCAGGCCAGTCACTCTCTCTCAATCCAACCCACTATTGTTGTGGGGAAAATTGGAGGAGAAAAGAGTATAATGTATGTTCGTTGCCTTGAGTTACTTATAAAATAATAAAGATGGGATAAAAATCTAGTCAATAAATAATGTCTACCGTGTTTACCCGAAAATAAGACCTTGTCTTATATTTTTTTCGACCCCTGAAATAAGCACTTGGCCTCATTTTCAGGGAAGTCTTATTATTTTGGGGTGCATGGAGCAAGATGGGGCTCCTCTTGCCATCTTACCTGATTTCCAGCTCTGTGTTTAAATATTTTCAGAGAGGGCTTATTTTTGGGGAAGGCTTATTTTAGCACATGTGCTCAAAAGCCCAATTGGGCTTATTATCAGGGGATGTCTTATTTTCGGGGAAACAGGGTAGACTCTAGAAGTGCTGAGAACACCACTGGGCCTACATTCTGAAGACCCTCAATTGAGGAAGCGTTTAGACGTCATCTGAGGCCCTCTTGAATCTCACGGTCTCCAGATAAGCAGCAAAAAAAAAGGAATAACAGTACAGAATCAGTCATCCTGGATAAAGATCAAACTTTTTTCTGGACTAATCTCTGACTGAGTTTATGTTGCTAATCATTCTCTTGACGCTGAGCCTCACGATCTAAGATTCCAGATGTAATCCCAGATGTACGGTGTTTCCTTTCTGAGCTGACAAAATCTCTGTTACATACGTGGGATATTCTCTGTGGAGAACCCACGGTCCAGCTATGGATAATGGTAATTAGCTTCTAATCCTTGGATTTGTTTCTTTGCTTCACTCAGAATCTGATCTACTCAGTCTGGAGCCGACTTATGCAAGAATACAGCAGGATCTGAACGAAACGCTGAGGCGGCGCAGACACGCCGGAGAAAATGACTACAACATTGAGGTTCTCCTTGGAATAGATGATTCTGTGGTCCGATTCCATGGCAAAGAACATGTGCAGAACTATCTTCTCACACTGATGAATATTGTGAGTGCAAATTTTTCTTGTCTTGATTTGGGAGAAATAAAGATCTCGTCACTTCAGTCCAAGGGTGAAATTCACTTACTTTCGCTAACAATTCGCAAAATTTAAGCGTGCCTGCCTCCTCCACGCAGAGGGTCAAAAATGGGATGTGATGATGTCCGGTGGGTGGGAGGAGCCTCTCACTGCTGGGCTACCGGTTAGCCCGAACCGGATATAACCGGCTGAATTTCACCACTACTTCAGTCGCAAACTTATCGTGGATAATCTTGAAAAAGCTACAGGGCAGAGGTGGGTTTCAGCAGGTTCTGACCAGTTCTGGAGAACCGGTGGCGGAAATTTTGAGTAGTTCGGAGAACTGGTAGTAAAAATTCTGACTGGCCCCGCCCCCATTTCTATTTTCTGCCTCCCAAGTCCCAGCTGATCGGGAGGAAATGGGGATTTTGCAGTATCCTTCTCCTGTCACGCCCACCAAGCCACACCCACAGACCGGTAGTAAAAAAATTTTGAAACCGACCACTGCCACAGGGGGTTGAACCGACTTACTTTTTGGGTGGCCGATTTGCCAGGAAATGCTAAGGCTTACAGGTAAGACTGGAAAGTAGAACATCTAGAACAGGGGTGGGTAACTATGGCCCCTTTTGTGATTTGTGGCTGGCTCAGGAATTCTGGGAGTTGAAGTCCACAGGTCATAAAGGGGCCATAATTCCCCATAATTCACCGTGCGGTGAGCTCCCGTTGCTTGTCCCAGCTTCTGCCAACCTAGCAGTTCGAAAGCACGTCAAAAATGGAAGTAGAAAAACAGGGACCACCTTTGGTGGGAAGGTAACAGCGTTCCGTGCGCCTTTGGCGTTGAGTCCTGCTGGCCACATGACCACGGAGACGTCTTCGGACAGCGCTGGCTCTTCGGCTTTGAAACGGAGATGAGCACCGCCCCCTAGAGTCGGGAACGACTAGCACATATGCACAAGGGGAAACTTTACCTTTACATTTTATACCCAAAAATAGCTCACAGGACTTCCCAGAAAAAGTTGTAGCAGTGCTTTAAGGAAGACAGAACTAACATTCATACTCTTGTACGCCTGGAAATCCAAAGCAATGCACAGGTCTAATTTTTATCTAATTTCTCCCCTAAAGAGCAAAAATCCTAGTGCTGACCTTTCTGATTACATTTCCAGTGCTTTTAGAATATTGGTATTTGAAAAGCTTTGTCTCTTTGTTCCAGAATGAATGTTTTTGGGGTCAGAAGACCTGCTCTCGGAGCTGTTAGCACCAAATAAATGCAAAAATGGGTGTTGCTTTCCAGAGTAATTCAATTTTCCAGCGTCAGAGCCACGCTGCGTTTTAAGCAACAGAGCGCGTTTCAGCAGCAAAAGTCGCCTTTAAAGAAAGACCACAAATTAAAAAGTTGCGGTTGCTGTGAAAGCATATTTTAGGGAATGGAGAGATGCTTTCCAAACAAAGCAAAGGAAAACAACAAGAGAGTTTCAGAGAAAGAATTTTGAATTTTGAATAGTTTGTATTTTGGCTTTTGTCATATTGTAAGCTGCCCAGAGTGGCATGAAATGG